AAGAGAGATTTGAGAGAGATTAAGAGAAATTGAGAGAGATTAAGAGAAATTGAGAGAGAATGAGAGTTTTGGGGTGAGGAAAATGGTTGGGGGGAGGGGGGTATTTATAGGAAAATTTTTGGGTTGAAAAAAAAAATTTTTCCCCCAAAAATTCGGGTCCAACGGCGACAAAATTTTCGGGCAGGTCGGGCAAAATTAGGGCAGTTTGGGCAACGGATAAAAATCCGACCGTTTGGTTAAAAAATTCGGGCAAAATTCGGGTTCGGGCAAAAGACCGTTTTTTTTTTTTTTCAAAATTCGAGCATTTCGGGCTAACGGTAAAAAAAAATCGGGCATTTTTCGGGCATGGGGCGAAATTCGGGCAACGGTCACCAAAATTCGGTCAACGGTCACAAAAAATTCGGGTAATTCGGGTAAAAATTCGGGCAGCTTCGGGTATTTGCCGGAAAATTCAAAAAAAATCCGACGAACGGCGGGAGAAGGCTTCTCCACGGCGGCGGACTGTCGAGGGCTTACCATTTTCGGGCTACCCGAGCCCGTGCCCGAAGAAAATTATTTTCGGGCGGCGAGACGGGCCTGCCCGCCGTGCCCGAAAATTTTCGGGCATCGGGCATGCCCGCCGCCCGAAAGTCCAACACTAGCCCTGATTCACGTTTTCTCCAAAAAGTCCCTGATGCCCTAGCCCCCATTTCTTGCTCGACCACCGAGCTCCAGCCATTGACCATCGACGCCATGGCTTCGAAGCCCCCGAACCAACTCCGAGCTCTCTTCGCATCCACCACCCGTCACCGGCTTCTCTCTCCTCGATTCCCGAACCCTAACGAAGCTTTCCGAGACTAAACACAATTACTCATAACTCTCTCTCTCTCTCTCTCTCTCTCTCTCTACAGTTCCAATTGGGAGCAACAATGGCGGGCGGAAAGGCGAGGAAAGAGAAACCGAAGCCGAACGCAGTAGCGCACGCTCCGTACCAAGGAGGCATATCCTTCCACAAGTTGAAGGGACAGCACATTCTCAAGAACCCTCTGCTCGTCGACTCCATCGTCCAGAAAGCCGGCATCAAGACTACCGACACCATCCTCGAGATCGGTCCTAGTACCGGAAACCTTATGAAGAAGCTTCTAGAAGCCAGCAAGGCGGTCATCGCCGTCGAGGTCGACCCTCGTATGGTCCTCGAGTTGCAGCGGCGCTTCCAGGGCACTCCTCTCTCCAATCGGTTGAAGGTATTTCTTTATTTCTAAATTTCCAATCTTTTCTTTTTCCATTGCGTTGCGTTTTTTGTTTCAATATCCGCAGAATTTGTTGTTGTGTTTTGGATTCTGGTTAATGCTATATTGCGATTGAGGTTTCCTTCGTTTTGAATCGTGATTTTGATTTTATTATTAATTGAATTGCATATATTTAGCCTTCTTGGTTAAATGAGACTGGTGGCCCAACCTGGGGACAAGCTCTACTGCCGTCTTACTGTGAAAACCCAACTGCTTGCCCGAGTCTCGCACCTCCTTAAAGTCGGAAAGAATAACTTCCGCCCTCCCCCGAAAGTGGATTCCTCTGTGGTTCGAATTGAGCCAAGGAAACCCCGGATTGAAGTGAAGCAAAAAGAGTGGGATGGATTTCTCCGGATATGCTTCAACCGTAAGAACAAGACTCTTGGTTTAATCTTTAGGCAGAAGATTACTTTACTGGAGAAGAACTACAAGACTGTACAGGCACTGAAGCTCTCAGGACAAGGTTTGATGGAGGATAATGATAATAAGATGGACTTTTCAAGACTCAGGGACAACAATGAAGACCTAAATATGGATGTGGATGATGATGATGATGGAGATGAAGAAATGATAATAAGATGTGGATATGGATGGACTTTTAGCTCTAGCATCTGGTGATGTAGAAGGGGAGCCATCCGAATTCAAAAACAAGGTTTTGGCCGTGTTGAAGAGAAGAGATCGTCCAAGCTCACCCTACAGGAATTATTGTATCTGCTTTCTTTGTTCAACAAGGCTGGCATACACTTCTCCTGATTTTGCATCATGCACCCAATTTAGTTCGCTAAGTTAGCGGTTTTTGTTGTCTCTTTCTTCTCTATTTATTTGTTTCAACAATATTGTAAAAGTTATTATTATAGAATGCATTTGCAATAGTAAGCCATAATGAGTTTCCCAATACCAAATGCTAATTTGTTGTGAATTTCAAAGGGGATAATCGATTTTTTGCTCCCTAATAAGGCTTAGTTTGGTAGGGATTTTGGGAAGCCAAAATCACTTTTTTTTTTTTTTTTTCAGCTAAAGCTAAAAAATGTGTTTGGTAAACACATAAAACCGGATTCTTAGAGAATCTAATAACCCTAAAACCTATCATTCTGAAACTCCTTCGTGCTCTCAGCCTCAGCCCCTCTCTTGAAACTCTCAGCCTCAGCCTCCTCTCGTGCTCTCTCGCCTCAGCCTCAGCCTTCGCTCTCTCAGTCAAAGCTCTCTCCCTCCGTTTATCTTTCTTCTCTCTCTCGGACTCCCTCTCTCCGTTTATCTCCTGCGATTGTCGGCAGCGGAGTCTCCAAAATCTCTGTTCTCTCGGTGTTGGTGGTTTTGCTCGTGTTAGGGCTTCTAGATTTCGTCGCCAGCTGAGACCGGATTTGGTTGGAGCTCACAATCTTTGCATCTGTAAGTACTCGATTGAGCTTTTTTTTTTTATGTCGATTTGGTGTATGGCTTGATGAAATTTGGGTTTTGAATGTCGATTTGGTGTTGGTGGTTTTGAATGTCGATTTGGGTTTTCATATTTTGTACAAAATTTTTGTTCTCTGCTCTGTAAACTGTAAACCCTTTGTTTATCCTCTAAATGTCGAATTGGTCATTGGATTTTTTTTTCTCTGAATGTTGATTTGGGCTAACTTTGATAGAGATTTTGGGAGGCCAAAATCGATTTTTTAAAGTTCATTTGCTAGACAAATCTAGATAAAAATGAGATGGTGGAAGAACAGGGATGTATCCTTGAAGCTCGTTGAAGAAGATAATTAATTATTTGATTGTGGTTTCTTATCTGGGTATGAGTTTGCTCCTGGTTTACCATGAGTATATATGTTAAGACATTAAGAAATAAAAAAGAAAAAAAAAAAACGAAAGAGAGAAGAACATGAGCTGAATACATCAATAATCTTTAATTCTTGAAAACAAAAAAAGAAAGGAAAATATATCCTTGAGAGAAGAAAGCATCAAATATGATATGTAAAAACAAAATGACAGCCTTTTGCAATCACTTTTCCAAGGCTTTTTAGTCTTAAAAATGACAGGGAGGTGAAAATAAAAGAGGTTTTTGTCTGTAGGTGATAATTCTGTTGTAACTCTATACTAGTGGACAATTTTTTCGGTTTTGGGAGGGAGAGAAAAACCAAGACAATTTGGAGAGCTTTGATTCTAGCTATTTTATATGTCATATGGATAGAGAGAAATCATAGAATCTTTAAGGATATGGAGATGTCTTTTGAAGATCTTTTTGATAGGAAGTTGACAAAGCTCAGGTTAATAGGAAGTTGATTATTTGCAGGCTATGTGTTTGAATGTTTGGCTATGTTAATTATTTGCAGCTTCAACTATTAGCAAGAATGGAGGTTGACACTCTTGTGGTTTCCTTTGCTTAGCTTTTTGTTCATTATCATTTGCTTAAAAAAGCCTTAACTTGCTTTACTTATTTTTGATATCTACAAATATGCGATGGGTTTATAATGGTGGTAGTTCTTTCAGTCATCATTTGTTCAAAAAGAGGGTAGTGTACCACAAGGTAAAGCAATATGGGATTCCGAGGTTGTAGACCTTTTTTGTGATTTGTGTATCAAAGAGGTTGAAGGTGGACACCGACCTGGACACATCTTGATAAAGTTGGATGGGAAAATGTAATTCGGAAATTTAATGAAGCAACCAAACGAGTATATAAAAGACAACAATTGAAGAATAAGTGGGATGCTGTGAAGAATGATTGGAAGCTTTGGAAGGAACTTGTTGGGAAGAAAACTGGTTTAGGTTGGAACAATAAAAAGAATACTATTGATGCATCTGAGGAATGGTGGTATAATAAATTGTAGGTATATGAATGAAGTTGTACATTTTTTATAGTGTAGTGTTGGTGTGTGGGAGGTTTAATTTATTGAAGTGTTTTTACAGATTCATCCTAATGCATCGAAGTTTCGCACTCGGGGGAATTGAACTAGAATCTGAGGAAAAGTTAAATAGGATGTTTACTAATACTGTGGCCAGAGGAGTGTTTTCTTGGACACCCGCATCTGGACAGATGCCATGTGAGCCTGATAAAACAACAAATGAAATGATATATCCAGTTGAACAACTTGAGAGTAGTTGATCGTCAGATGCACCTATCAGAAGAGAAATGTCACAGGACCCTAAGAAGAAGCGTCCAATTGAGTCAGATGAGGGACAAAAGAAATTCAAAAAAGGGAAAGGCAAGGATAAAGTTGGCGGTGCTGCCAAATTGTCGCAACAAATTGATCGCCTTGTGACTGTAGTGGAGACTATTAGTACCGGATCATCCATTGCACAAACTAAAGGACCAGATTGTAGCATTGCACAAGTTATTGAAGTCCTTGATTCTCTTCCTGGATTAGAGAGTGAGAGCGAGTTGTATTTTTTTGCTATCTACTTGTGCTCAGACACGATTAAAAGAGAGTCATTTTTAGCTTTGAAACGACCTGAGTTGAAGCTCAATTGGCTTAAATTTGAGCACGGGTTAGGATCATCCTCTTAAATTCCCTTGAGTGTCTCTTAAGTGTTCCTTTACTATGATTAATCTTTTAGTGTGGCTTTCATTAATTATGTTTCGGACCTTTTTTTTTTTCCCCATGAATTCGAATACATTGTACTGAATATTTTCCATTATTTCATTTGAATTATGTTGACATGCAGGTTTCTTCGTTATATGCTGGGATGTCTGACAATATTGCCCAATCTTTTAGTTTAGAACTTGTTTGTGTTATTATACGACTCATTGAACAGTATTACAATAAGTATATTCAGAAAAATCCTTGTATGAACTCTGTTCAAACTGAAAACATGTGGGTAATGGAATTATTAGGCGGACATGAAATTATAAGTTATAGAATGTTTAGAATGGATAAAGATGTATTTATGTCGCTATGTAATGATTTGCAATGTAACTACAGATTACATGGATCAAGAAATATGTCTGCGTTTGAAATAGTCGGAATGTTTTTATTCATTTTAGGTCAGGGTGCGGGAAATCATTTAACACAAGAATGATTTCAACACTCTGGTGAAACAGTTAGTAGATATTTTGAGTACGTTCTAGACATTGTCTGTCGTATGAGTATGGATGTTATAAAGCCTGATGATCCAGAGTTTAGTGGAGTGCCTCATGAGATATTAACGGATTGTAGATATATGCCACATTTTAAGGTATTCTCTTCGTTAATTATATGCTTTCATTCTTATTTAATGTAATCATTTTAAACATAGAACTTTCTTCTTTTTAGAACTGTATTGGCGTAATAGATGACGTACACGTTCCAGCTACAATATTACCAGAAGATCAAGTCCCATATATTGGTAGAAAGCGTGTGCCAACCTAAAATGTGATGGCTGCTTGTGATTTTAATATGAAATTTACATACGCATATGCAGGTTGGGAAGGTAGTGCTCATGATACAAGAATATTCTTATCAGCACTACGTCGTACAAATTTGAACTTCCCAACACCACCAGAAGGTAAAAACCTCTTCTATATTCATGAGAACTCTGTTTTATAATTTATTAAGTTTTTGTGTTCTTATTTCAATAGGTAAATACTATTTAGTTGACATGGGTTATCCACAATTAAAAGGTTTTCTTGGACCTTATAGAGGAGAAAGATACCATTTAGAACAATTTCAAATGGGTTGTCGACCAACTGGCTATAAAGAGGTATTTAACCAAGCACATTCTTCTCTTCGAAGTGTTATCGAATGCATATTTGGTGTCTGGAAGAAAAAATGAAAAATTTTGAAAGACATGCTAAATTATTCATTTGCAAAGTAAGTGAAAATAGTTATTGCGACAATGACGCTCCATAACTACATTAGGAAGCATGATAAGTGTGATCTACATTTTCAAAGGGTCGAGGATAATCCAGATGATTTCGTTTATGAAGAGAATCAATTAGATGACAATAATGTAGAAGAGAATCAAGATTTACTATCACTGGAAATGGATGAAGTACGAGATCAAATTGCGGCAAGCTTAATGAATACGACTTAATTCTTTTCATTTGAGTTAAGTTTGTTGGTATATACGTGTGTATTTGTAGGACTTAAGTTTGTATTTGTAGATATATACATGTTTGTAGGTATATACGTGGTGTGTGTGTTTGAAGGTTATATGTTTGTATTTACGTGTGTGTGTGTATGGATATATATGTTTGTATTCACGTGTGTGTGTGCGTATGGATATATATGTTTGTATATTTATATTGCTTCAAAAGAAGAGAGCACTTGTGTTGTCTTCATATATACTTTCTTATGAGCTTCATGCAGCAAGAGATAAAGTTCTAGCTCACGTTTGACTTGCTAGAGTATCTCATATAAGAGGTTCTGAAGTTTCTTTATTTTGGCTGGAAAAGAACTGTGGTGATGTTAATGTTAGTATTGTTTTGATAGTTCAACATGCATGTATAATATATATATATATATATATATATTGTCATCATTTGCATACAACGTTTAGTTATAGAAACCAATTCAGTGAATGTAGGTTTTTTCGTCATGCATACTTTTTTCTTTTCTGCTAATTAGTTTGTCCAACTTAAAAATAACTTTCTGAAGTCTTTGAGTTTCGTTTTATATTTGATCATATGCATGATTTTGTGCATGTATGTACAAATATTTATTGAAGTATCATCTATTGATATAGGTTTTACAACTTCAGAACATGTGTAATTTGTAATCCAAAATTATAAGGTGGTAAAAAAAAAAATTGCTTCAACTTGATAATATTGCTTTACATCTGAGCAGGCACTCAGCTCCTGAAAAAGACTTTTGATCAAGAATAATGGCTTTGCCTTCTCCTGAAAAAGTTGTTCTTGGCTCAATTGCTTTTGTAATCTTCTGGATTCTGGCTGTTTTCCCAGCAGTTCCATTCCTTCCAATAGGAAGAACGGCTGGGTCTCTCCTCGGCGCCATGCTGACGATCATCTTCAGAGTCATAACCCCAGCGCAGGCATATGCGGGCATTAATCTCTCAGTCACTGGCCT